CGACGGTTCAGAAGCAGTGGTACCGCGCCATCTACGAGCGCAACACTGCGTTCCTCATGCGCGGAACCAACCCGAGCAACGCTCCCAACTTGATGAACGTCATGATGGAGCTTCGCAAGTGCTGCAACCATCCGTACCTCAACAACGGCGTCGAAGACGCACTTTGCGAGGGCCTTGAGTCCGAGGCGCAGCGCTACGAAATGCTCGTCAAGTGCTGCGGCAAGATGGTTCTCCTTGACAAGCTGCTTCCACGGCTCAAGGAGGGCGGTCACAAGGTGCTCATCTTCAGCCAAATGGTGCGCGTCCTGGATCTTCTTGAAGACTACATACGCAACAGTGGCCACCTGTACGAGCGTCTCGACGGCAACATTCGCGGCAACGAGCGCCAAGCTGCCGTAGATCGTTTCGTCAAGCCCGAGTACCAGCGCTTCATCATGCTCCTATCGACGAAAGCAGGCGGCCTTGGGCTCAACCTCACGGCGGCCGACACGGTCATCATTTACGACTCGGACTGGAATCCGCAGAATGACCTCCAAGCCCAGGCACGTGCGCACCGCATCGGACAGACGCACTCGGTCAAAATTTATCGCCTCATTACGCGCAAGACTTACGAGATGCACATGTTCCACAAGGCGAGTCTCAAGCTCGGCTTGGACCGGGCTGTGCTTACGCACATGCGCCAAGAACAAGATAAAGAGACAAAGAAGCCTGCGACGAAGTCCAAGGTACCATCTACTTTGATATGTCGCCCATTAAGCATTTATCGAATGTAGGCCCAAGAAGCACAAGAGATCGACGAGCTCCTCAAGCGCGGTGCATACGATGTGTTTCGCGACGAAGATGACGCATCGGAGCAGTTTTGTTCGGCCGACATTGACACGCTTCTCAAGCGCAGCTCGCAGATCGTGCAGTACGAAGCACAAGCCCGCGGGTCGTTCTCGAAGGCCAGCTTCGTTTCGGTACGTATATTCTGGGTTTTCTTTCGAATGGCCTCAAACAATGACGGTAGGCAGCGACTGCAGACGACGTCGACATCGATGATCCGGACTTTTGGAAGAAGGCCGTTGGTCTCGCTGAGCCCGAAGCCGTAGACGAAGCGTCATCGCTCGTTCTTAGCTCGCAGCGAAAGCGAACTCGTGTCGCTCGCTTTGGCACAACGAAAGACTTGGTCTCAGACGATGAGGACGAAGACGAGATCAAGAAGGACAACGAGAAGGCACTCGCGGTCTCTCGCGAGTGGACTGTCAACGGCCGGGATCGGCTCCAGCGCGCCCTTATGCACTTTGGCTTTGGGCGATGGGAAATTGTCCGCAGCCAGAGTGGCGGGTCACGATCCGTCGAAGAAGTCGAAGCGTTTGCCCGTGCGTTCGTGCTCGTGTGTGGACTGTGCTGTAGCGGCGCGACGCAAGCGAGCGACTCGACGTTTGTCCAGAGCGCGATACGCGCCGCGTCAACGGTCAAGTCCGAGTACCTTACAAACGTTGATGACCGCGAGGTGTGGACCGAGCGCGCAACGGAGCACATTCCGATTGTTCTCCAAGAAGACGACTTCGTGTCCAAGCTCAAGCAGGGTGGTGCTCGACGAGTGCTATCTCGACTCGATATTCTCAGCCGCCTCCAACACAAGATCAATGCCGCGTGTGAAGCAATTGCAGCGCGGGACAACCTCGTTTTGCCTCTCGACTTGGACGCGCGGGTCGATCTCGTTGGCTTGGATCGACTCCTCGAGGGTCTCGGCACAGTTAACGTGCCGGATCGCCCGCAGTGGTCCGCCTTGACGCCGTGGTGGGACACGTCGGCAGACAAGAACCTGTGCGCGGGTGTCTTCTTGCACGGGTACGGACGCTGCGCTCAAATCCTTGGCGACCCCCGTATCGTGTTTCAGCAGCGCGAGGCTGCGTTTGAACCGTCGCCGGCGTGCGACGATGAACCGACGCCAGTCAAGTTCCAGCAGCCAGAAGTGCAGCAAATGAATCGGCTGCTCATTTGGCTTCTCTCCATTGAAGATGTCCAGCGGCAAAAACAGCAAGAGAAGCGTGACAAGTCGTCATCCGAGGTTGTACGCACGACAACGCTCGAGCAGTCGCAAAAAGTCGCAGTTCTTCGGCGACAAGACGCCCTTACGTGGCAGCTTGTGCACCTTGACCTACTCCGGCATTCAGTTCAGCTCCAAAACGCGCAGGTACTCCATTTTCACCGAGATGCACTGCGCACGAAGTCTGTAGGTATGGTCACTCGTGGCGGACGCGAGCGAGACAGGCTTCGTCAAGGACTGGAGCATCGACGAGCGTCAGTCTGTGAGCTACGTTCTCAGCCTCTGTGGTGCGCCGCTGCTCTTGTCGAGCTACGGGGAATGGAGTTGGCTTCAAGTCGTCGAGGCGGCGCGCGTTCACAAGTCCGCAGCGCGCACGCAGCGCTACGCGTACGACCGCGTGCTCGGCAAATGCCATGAGCTTCTGGGCAAAGACCTTTGCGCGCCACGATCGCAGAACGAAGTGACGTTTGTGGACCCGTTCCAAGTCGCCGCGTTGCATGGAGCCAAAGCCAAGGTGCTCGCAGGCTTGCTTTTGCGACGGACGCAAGTTTACCGTGCAGTTTCGCACGTCCTACACAACCAAGAGGGCGATCTGCGACGACTGCTTCGATCAGGTGTGTCTTGGCTCGCAACAAGTTTAGAATGGTATCATAACAATGCCATTCACATAGGTCTTCCATGGCTCTGTGACGGGATGCCTGCATGGTGGTGCCCGTGGCGCCACGATATGGCGCTGCTGCAAGCAGTGCTGCGCTTTGGCGTCGGGGCGTTCTTGCAGTTGCATCACCATGGCGAGCTGTGTGTGCGCCGTGTCGTTGACCACGTGCACAAGACGTTTGTTGCAAATGGACGTCCGCGCGATGAGTCGATGGTGTTCACGTCGCCGCTCGACTTCAAACAGTGGTTGCTCGCTACGTGTGTGTCGTTTCCAGCGGTGCAGTTGCTCGAACAAAAGCTCATGCGTCTATGTTTTGCGCTCACGGACAGCCTACCGACGATGCACGAGAGCAAGCTGAGCCCCGAGTACGAGCTCGATAGTGTCATGCCGATGCCGATGGTGGACAGTGTCGTCAACAATCAGCGCGCCGCCATTTTGCTCACGCTGCAGACGTCGCGTCCAAGAAAAGCGGTGTCACCATCACTGCGAGAAGTTATGGATCGAACCAAAGCCACCCGCGATGCGTATGAGCACAACGCCGTCACGTGTTGATCAGCAGAGCTACCACGTTCAGCGAGATCACGATGAATGAAGGTATAATCAATATTGTCTTGCTCTTCCACTAAAAGCCCGGCGGCCGAACACACTCCGGCATGTTGTTTTCGCGGAGGAAAGTGGTAGACCAGTCTCAAATGGCCGTACTAACAGTCCCTGACATCATCCACGACTCCAAATTCTAAACCGTTACATCAGGAACTACTGGATCAATTATTTTCTGAGTTTCTTTGTTTCGTCGACCTCTCGCGACCGCAATGCGCTGAGAGCTCTTTCGATCGTGAAAAATATGAATGATGGTGTTTCTCATACATTCTGCCGAATAGCAGGTAAAATGTGTCGGCGAGATGGCAATAAAACTGGGATTCGACCTGTACTCGCCCGGACTTTTTCCGGTGTCGGATACGCGCGTTCGGATGGCTCCAGGAGGGCTGACGCACTGGAGGACAGTAGCTAATCGCCACGGACCTGGCGATAAACAATCAGCCTCCTGGAATAGCCAATCAAAATCGTGGCTCTGGTCGAGTTTAGGGCGAGCTTAGCGAATCAAAAGTCATACGGGGAGCCTCGGGAGCGGCAATGTTGGCAGGGACGTCTATCTCCAGGCGCAGCACGTCACCCAGCAGGCGCCAGCGTTGGCGTGCGACGATCTCGCTCAGCGGGGCACTGTTGCAGCGCTTGTAGAGCGCGACGTCGCCGAGCGTGTTCAGGTGTAAGATGCCTAGAAGACGACGCAGCTGCCGGCGATGGAAGCTGTCAAGGCCCGCCAGACTCGTTGGCGTCAGGGCCCACGTGCCGCAGTTGTACAAAAGGACCGGGAGCACGTAGCACTTGTACAGCACGGTTGCCTTCCGAGATGAGGCCTAGACGCATCCAGATCTTCCGCATGTTGCTGAACGCCGTCGTCGCCAGTCGCTTCCGAGCGCGGAGATCGGCCGCGTCGTCGAGGAGGCTGCCGAGCTTCTTGGTCGTGTGCCACGCCAAAGAGGACGCGTGCGTCGGCGCGTCAATCTGCGTCGACCTGAATACCTACGTTTCTTCCTTCTTGTCTTCATTCATCTTGAGGTCCCACCGGGCGAAGACGGATGGCGCCGCGGCTTTGATCCTGGTCATGGCAGCAGCGTCGTGGCAGAGTCGTCGGCGTAGGCGACCGTGTGGTCAAATCGGTATAGTGAGAGCAAATAGAATGACACCCGTTGCAGAACTTTGTGTGCCGCACGGCGTCACCCTACCTAAAACTTGCCTCGTAGCGGCCAGTGGCCGCTTCGAGGCCGCCGGCTATATGAGCGAAGCGCGTGCCGCGCCGCGGCAGAGACGAGCGCGGCGAGTCCGCTAATTGGTTAGAACCGTACATTGGCTCTCGATGACGAACAGCGAGCTAGAGCAGCACGCTGACGCGCCGCAAAAGTCTTGCGCAAGGAAGAAGCGCAGAAGTGACGCACAAGAGTAAGCGCCTGCGGACAAGTTAAGGCAGAAGAAGGCGACTGCTGCCGCCGTTAAGAAGGCCAGACTCGAGCGTACGCGCCTGGGGAAAGCACTAGAAGGCTCTTGAGCACTTTAACTTGCCAGCGCAGTCCTGCTGGCTCCGCCCATCTCCGCAACCAGGCCGCATGTACAACGTTGCGTGAAGGAGGTCCCTCCTGCGTCAGTCGATCGTGCCGCCTCGAGCGCAAAGCCACGCCCATCCGTAACGAGTCGAGTCGACGTGCTACCCGATGCTGCCAGCCGCACGACAAGCCATCCACCGCTCTCTTGAATTTTTATGCTTCTGGCGGCGCTGAAAGGTCTACCTACTCGAGGCCTCTGCAGTCCTGCGAAAGCAAGGTACAGCGGTTGCCCCCGGTGTCACGTCAATACCCGCAGTGTCCACGCCACCTCCGCGCCCAAACCCACGCAAGCGCGTCGACACTGCAACACTGGCATGCGCCCTGCCAAACGGCCTAAACAAGTCGAGTCGGACCCTCATCCCGAGCCAGGGATGGCAAGTGGAATCGAATCAGATCCGGACTTTGTCTTGCGACGTGTCACCGCTCGACAAGACGCAACGATGAGCCTGCGCTTGCAACCGCTACGTGCGCCGACGACGACGAGCTCAACGAGGACGCCAAGAACAACGATAAAGATGAGATCGACTATGACGCCGACAACGTAGAAGCCGCCGAGATCGACGACGACGAAAGCGCCAAGAGCGAGCTAGCTTTAACGATATATATATTAATCGGACATTTTCATCTGTGACGACGTTTTTGTCAAGGAGGACATCACCGAGGTGCGCACTACACGCTGTCCATGATTCGCGTGCTGCTCAATATCAACGACCTTCTCCAGGTCGACGATCCCAACCACAAGGCACGGTCCGCCTCATGCCGTCCGAGTTATACAAGCTTTACACTCGCTGCTGCAACAACAGCAAAATTGGCGACGAGCACAAGTGCTCACCGAATCGTCGCCAGCCCCTGGCAAGATGGAAAAATCATTCTCCCCGCTATAACAACGCCGACGGAGTGTACCAAACCCAATAACTTACAACGAGAACAACATTCACCAATAATGGGGCTTTGTGCAACGAATTTGGCCGTCTGAACCCGTAGGATGCAGAGCAGAACCGCGGCTGCCTCGTCGCTGCGCGTCGGATCAATTTTAAAAGCGGGTGCTGCTCACACTCGGGACGTGCATGCAGTAACCGAATGATCCCGCTACCCAGGCACTTTCGTTGCTCCAATGCGTACTGCATACGCACAATGAGTATGGCCGTAGGGACACAGGGTTTAATCTAATGCATCTTTAAAGTAGTGAATGCTTTGCTGATTAAATGGAGTATAACTCTGTTAGATATCAAACAAGATAATCAATAATGTCATGCAGTTATGCAAGAAGTACAGAAGGTGCAACTGAACTTTACGTTGCAAACCAGTTGTGCGCTGCGAGGTTGATCGGATGCTCTCACAAAGGGTGCGATAAAGAGACAGCGATGCAGTGGTGAAAGTGCATTGCAAAACGCCTTCGCCGTGAAGTGCTGGGGCAAACTCTTGTGGTTCATTATCAAGAAGAGAACAGAAGTCTTCGAGAGCGGTATGTGGCATACGTGACGTAGACGTGGGCTGTAAAGACTGAGAATTCAAGCAGAAATCTCCTATTGCTTGACGCAACAGATATCTAGGTACACCACCTCCGAGGCACCTGGCACCGACCGTCCGGAGGTGAAGCCTGCCGCGAAGGGACCAAGAGCGAAGCAAGTGTGCTCACGCAGTACGCAAGGCATTGGTCTGCGTAATAAACCAGTCGGCGCACTTGTGCCGGGCTTTGTAGAATTGTTGGCGACAGTTTCCTAACCGTGATTGATATCTGGTCGTTGCTGTACCGACACCCAGTAAAGGTTATCGTGGGCCGCACGGCGTTAGAAGTACGCTCAGCATTCGTTCGCTTCTATTTTTCTCGCGGACAGCATCGCTTTCCTCAGTACGACAGTATCTATCGGTTTCCGGTTTTAGGCTAATGCCGGATAAGTGATCGCTTTTTAGGCATATTGGGGTCAAGTATATAAATGCATCTCTATCGCATTCATACTGTTTCGACGTTGCCTCTTTTATTTATTAAGCGTTTTCCAAATACAAATAGATTAAGCTGATCTGATTCGTGATTGGTTGAAAATTGACTGATTGGCTGAGCTGAGTACTTACTTTTGAGCAGATGCAGACGTGTAGTTTGCGTCTACTTGGTACGAAGCATGTCTGTTTATGTGCATTAGCGCGCATCTACTCACGATATCTGCGTTCTGCTCGGATTTTAGGTCTCTACAGTTGATCTCTTAACCGAAGATTGAGTATTCAGTTATATGGGGCCCACTTGACAAATGCGGCTCACTATAACACAACTATGGCTCACTATATGCGGCTAGTACATCGACAAGGATCCTTTTTCCTGGACAGTCTTTTCTACGATGTAGATCGAGTAAACAACGAGATCACTCTGTAACAACGGAAGATGCAATCAGAATTCCGAAATTACCGAGTTATTTCGTCCACAGGAAATTTATCGCGAATTCTTCTGTACGCATCAAAACAATCAAGTCTTGTCGGGTTGATAATACAAGTCCTCGGTGTCGTATATGAAGGTGCTGGGCCATGACGCTTCCAGGCGTTCCATGCACTTTTGGCAGTACTTGATCATCGTTTTCGCGTGTACACTCCGGTGTCTGTCGCACCTTCCGTCGGCGAGGACCGCCTACTGGTTGTGGTACTCGTCGAGAAGCGGGCCTTCGTCCGCCATCCGTTCTACCGCCGGCAGCTTTCTGAGCTGTCAAAGATGGAAGTCGACGCTGGCCTCCCAGATCGCAATGTATGACCTGCTGCCTGGCTTCGAAGACGATACGTCAATAGCTACGCCGTGAGAAACACCGAGCTTTGTGGAAAAGTACATCCTTTTTTTGGCAAACGACACGACTGGAGTGTAGGTCTGTTGAAATGTTAGCAGAAGGCATGGGATCGTCGCTGATGCGATAAGACGCAGTGCGGGCTTGGTATCGTTGGTTCATGGAAAACAAAATTGTTCGTACATTTGTGAGAAATCTTACGAAGTCCTGTATCTCTGGCATAATTCCAAGCGGGAATATTTTAAGATGTATCCAATTTACGGCTGTCAGCACTATGTTAAGCTGTGTGACGCGTTATACATCATTATCAATTGGTCACGCAGTATTTGACATTAACCGCAAGTGTTCAGCAATACCCTTGTACCACCGAAAATTACTGCGTCATTAAGTTAAATACTCGACATACAGTGGGTAGTTAGTCTCTGGTCAGGAGGTCTCGTGCACGTCTGAGTCGTATATTCATCGTGCCACGTACGGCTCTAGCGGACAATTGTTCTGTTCTATAAACCGCGAGACTTTGCCCTACGACCTTGCAGCGAAGGCATGGTGTTTATCTGCATTCTTACCACTGCATCGCTGTATTTAGCTAAGGGAGCATGACCAAGCTGTTAAAAATCACTAGCAA